ATGGGGTGAGTCATGCTCTCAAGTGATAAATATGACTGTTAACAACCTTCTTTTCTTTATACAGTGCCCCGGATGGAAACCAGGGCCTTATCCAGGATAGGGTGGCAAGGCTGAGGCACCTCCCCAATGCCCATTTGTAACTGTTGCTCTGTAACATTTTATTTCTATGAGCTTGAGAGCACTTGCCTTGCAATGGTTGACCTGAGTGCAATCCCTGACACCCCATTTAGTCCCCCAAGCCCTGCCAGGAGGGAACTCTGAGTACCACTGGCTATGGTCCAAACCCCCCCCCCCCAAAAAAATAAAGAAATGTAATGCATGTCAGCTGCAAACTGGCCTGGAATTCAACAATACCATGATGTTCTGTTGACTGTAAACAACCTCATAGATCACCAACCTTAAACAAGGTTATGATAATGATGACCAAAACAAAAGTAAATAAATCACAATCACTCTCCAGGTTGGAGAGACAGCACAGCAGGAAAGATGCTTGCCCTGCACACAGCCAACCTAGGTCGATCCCTGGCACCCCCTATGTCTCCCGCCATGTCCTGCCAGGAGTGATCCCTAAGCTCAGAGCCAGGCATAAACCCTGAGCACCACTAGGTATGGCCCCAAAACCAAAATAAAAGTTTTCCTAAGTTCTAGGAGTAATTAGTTCTAAGAAAAAAAATCAAACGTGAAGAAGGGTTCCTGGGAACCTCCGATTTAAATCAATTCTTTTCAAGTACAAGCTTTCATTGAAAAGATTTGTAGGATTGGACTGTTGTGAAATATGCTATCAAGAATTCATCTGAGGGGCTGGAGCAATAGCACAGCGGGTAGGGCATATGCCTTGCACGCGGCCAACCCGGGTTCGATTCCCAGCATCCCATATGGTCCCCTGAGCACTGCCAGGGGTGATTCCTGAGTGCAGAGCCAGGAGTAACCCCTGTGCGTCGCCAGGTGTAACCCAAAAAGAAAAAAAAAAAAGAATTCATCTGAAAAGTGTTGTCGGACACCCAGTTAGCATCCCAAGAATTGTTTCTGTTTTAGGGTCATACCCAACAATGTTCAGGGGTAACTCCTGGCTCTGCACTCAGAAATTAATTCTGATGGTTCTCGGGGAACTATGTGGGGGGCTATGATCAAAAATAGGTTAGCCGCATGCAAGGCAAGTGCCCTACCTACTCACTCCAGCCCCTTGCTTTTCTTTTCTGCTTTTTTTGGGGGGGAGGCGGGGTGTCTTACCCGGTGATGCACAGGGGTTACTCCTGGCTCTGTACTCAGGAATGACTCCTGGTGGTGCCCAGGGGACCATATGGGATGTTGGGAATCAAACCTGGGTCGGCCGCGTGCCAGGCAAACGCCCTAACCACTATGCTATCACTCCAGCCCCTTGCTTTTCTTTTAAAAAAAATTTGGGGGGGGGGCTGGAGCGATAGCACGGCAGTTAGGGCGTTTGCCTTGCACGCGGCCAACCCGGCTTCGATTCCCAGCATCCCATATGGTCCCCTGGGCACCACCAGGAGTAATTCCTGAGTGCATGAGCCAGAAGTAACCCCTGTGCGTTGCCGGGTGTGACACAAAAAGCAAAAATAAATAAACAAATAAAATTAAAAAATAAAAAAAATTTTTTGAACACATGGTTCTCAAACTTTTTTTTTTTTTTGCTTTTGGTTTGGGGGCCAAGCCTGGCAGTGTTTGGGGCTTATTCCTACCTCTGTACCTGATGATCTCTTCTGGCAGGGCTCCGGGGACCCTCTGTGGTGCTGACAATGGAAACCAGGTTGGCAGCATGCAAGTAAAGCCATTTACCAGCTGTCTCATCTTTCTGGCACATGTGTTTGACTATTTTTATGCCCCCACTCCTTCTCCTTTCCCTGGTTGGCATCAATCTATCTGCAATGAGCAGGGCTTGCCCATGTTCCGGGGTGGTTGCATTTTCAGCTGTGGTACTCACAGGGGCTTGTGGTCCTTGTCTCACTGGCAGTGGTGCTCACCAAGGTTTCCACACTTTTAGTTGTGCTGGCACACGTGCTTGCTGCACATTCATAGTTTCAATTGAGACACATACATTCTGACTGTGGTGCTCACACACATGTTCACAAGAGGTTGCACTTCCCTAGCCATGGCACTTGGACATTGTTTTATTCACAGTGCTTACTGAGGGGGGGGGGGGGCATTCCTCACCCTTCTTGTGGCGCTCATACACACCTGGCTGTGGGGCAGCTGTAAACTGCTTGTGGACCTGGGAATTACACATAGCACAACTTCTAGGATTATGCTTTGCACATATGGGACACCAGGGATTTCAACTCATGATCCAGTGTTTGCAAGATAACCCCAGCCTGTGCTATTCCTCTAGGTACATAGCTACTTTTATATTATTTTATTTTACTCGGTTTGGGGGCCACATCCAGCAGTGCTCAGCTCTTACTCCTGGCTCTGCACGCAGGGAGCACTCATGGTGGGCTTAGGGGATCATATGGGGTGCTGCGGCAAGGGAATTGAACCCAGGTTGACCTTGTTCATGTGGCCAATCCGGGTTTGATCCGTGGCACCTCATATGGTCCCCTGACAAGAGTACTGCCAGGAGTAAGGGCAGAGACAAAAGTAAGCTGAGAGCTGTGAGTTGTTCCCCAACCCAAAATAAACAAAGTCATAAAAGAGTTGGAGAGACAGTACAGTGGGTAAGGCTGTACCCGAAAACATTTTAAGTCTCATAATATCAGGGCAAAAGAGAACGTAGAGGAGTTAAGGAGTTTGCCTTATTTCTGGCCAACTCCAGTTCCATCCCCTACACTACATAGGGTTCCATGCACCATAGCAAGTGTTCCAATCACAGAACCAGTAGTAGTCCCTGAGCACAGCAGGGAGTGGCAAATATGTAATACATTTACAAAGCACTTGCCTTGTGAGGTCTTGGGCTTGAGACTTGACACCATACACATATACATTCAAAAAGTAAACTAAAGGGCCAGAGAGTGAGTACAGTAGGGAGGGTGTTTGCCTTGCACGTGATCAATCTAGGTTGAATCCTCAGCATCCAATATGGTCCCCAGAGCACCACCATGAGTGATTCCTGAGTGCACAACCAGGAGTCACCTCTGAGCATGGCCGGGTGTGACTCAAAACATAAAACAAAACAAAATGTAAACTAAAAAATTTGTGGGGGGCACACCCAACAGTGCTCAGGGATTACTCCTGATCTACCATAAGGGATTACTCCTAGTAGGCTCAGGTAACCATATGGAATGCTGGGAATTGAACCTGGGTTGGCCACCTGGGTCGGCCACATGCAAAGCACCCTACCCACTGTGCTATCTCTCTAGTCCAGTCCCTAAAAAGTAAATTTTAAAAGTAATTTAAGGGATCAGAGCGATAGTACAGCAGGTAGGGTGTTTGTCTTGCATGCGGCTGACTCAGGTTCAATCTCTGGCATCCCATATGGTTCCCCCCCAGCACTGCCAACTGCCAGGAGTAATCTCTGAGCACTGCCTGGTGTGACTTAAAAACAAACAAACAAAAGAAGAGTCAGAAAGGAACAGCTGGAGCACATGTTCTGCGTGGAAAAGGCTGGGCTCAACCCTTGGTACCACATGGTTCCCTGAACAATTCCAGGAGTAACCCCCAAGAAGTAAACTGTCTGGGAGTATCCCCAGAGTCTCACAGGGTTTGGCTCCCAAATTAAAAAGATATCTTCTATTAAATGGAACTGCTGGATCAAATGTATACATAAAAACTTAGGAAAATTTTGCTAAACTGTCTCAAAATGCTTGTTTAAGGGCTAGTATAAGTCCAGAGAGATAGCACAGGGATTTTTCACACAGCTGACTCCATTTCAATCTTAGCAGCACATATGGTCTCCGGAGTACTGCCAGGAGTGATCGCTGACCACTTCCAGGTGTGGCACGCAAATCCAAAATAACAACAACAACAACAAAAAAAACATGTTTGGGCCTGATTGTATGGGGGTTAAGATGCTTGGCCTTGTACTACATATGTTCCTCCCAAGCACCACCAGAAGTGATCTCTGAGCACAGAGCTAAATGTCCCTGAGCACCACTGGGTGTGACTCAACACCCCGCCCCCAACAAATATATCTAAAACAGGTTACTATGGTGACAGAGAGAGAGTAAAACAGGTAAGGCACATGGCTGTCCCGGGCTCAATCCCTGGAATCCCTTGGTCTCCTGAGGTCATCAAATGTCATTCCTGAGCACAGAGCCAGAAGTAAGCTCTCAGCCCTGCCAGATATGCCCCTGACCAAACAAACAAAAAAGCCTCAAACTTCAAAACAAAACCAAAAATACTCTTACTATTGGTGCTAGGGGTTCTTAGGAGGATTCCCAAGAGTAGGGGTAAGATGAAGTGGGTTCTAGTTGTCTCCTCACCCAGCCAGGAATTTGGAAATTCAGCCCTTCCCAAACCTGTGGCTCAGCACAGCTCCTAACCATCTCTGTGTGGAAACTGTCCCCATGCATGTAGTCCTTAGTCCCCAGTTCTTTCCCCCAGCACTTGTACTTACTGGCCCTGTTTTATTTATCACTTAACTCTCAGTCAGGCATCACAAGAAGCACACTTTAATGACATCAAATCATTGAGTTGGTTCAACAGTTTCATGGGTGTTTTATCAGGTAAGTTGTACAGAGAAACGGAGACTTCACAAGGGGTGACATTCATTGAGACCAGTCCTCCAGTAGTCAGGAAATCACATCACAATCAGGCCCATGAGAAGCCCACTTGAGACACTTGGGATTGTCCTACTCCCGGAGTCACTTAGTCAACTCTGTTCCAAGTGCTTTACTGTCCGCCCTCCGCTCAAAACCAGAGTGACTCCCCCAGCCCAGCCCTCTTTTCCCCAACTCCATTCCAGCTCCTACAACGTCCTGTCAGTGATTTCACTTCCCTCCCATTGCCAGTAGAAAGAACAACCCACCCCCACCCCTAGCCAAGAGAACAGGTATATCCATCAGTACCATCTGTCCATGGTGTGACTGAGTGACCTTTCCACGTGGTACACGGGCACAGGTGACATCAAGACATTGGTTGTCAAAGGACAACAGTTGATACGTGAATGAGCAAGTGAACCCCCATTCACTTTTGGGGCCCAGACCTTCACCCTCCCCACCCCACCCATCCCACCTGGGAACCAGCCCATAAGCACAGCAGTGAAATTTTTATTTACAAACCCAAGGCTGGCTGCAGGAGCTGATGGGAGGAGGCAGATTAGATGGGATGGGGCAGGACTCCTACTTCTGCTCCCGCCTCCAGACGATGACCATGCCGCTGGCGTCGCTGGAGGCCAGCAGGCTTTCATCGCAGTTGAAGCTGACGTCCAGCACCGGCGCGCTGTGGCCCTGTAGTTTGTTCACAGCAGCCTTGGCTGCTCGCTCCACATCAAAGAAGTGCACGCACATGTCCTCGCTGCCCGTCACTGCCCAGAGGAGAGGGGAACCCCATTCCCATCAGGACATGAGGCAGGAAGTAGAGGCAGGGGGCCCGGCGGGAGGGGGCTGAAGTGTTGTTGAGGGATTTCTGGTCAAGGAGAGAGGCCCCAAGTTTAGACTGAAAGTCACTTAGATATTTCTAAGATCCAGAACGTGAGTGCTTTGAAGGAGTGGGGGGGACATCTGTCTCAGATGGGAAAGTTTCAAGGCTGTCAGGAAAGGGCAGGGGTGTTTGTGTTCCTGGTGCTAGTTCTCTGAACATGAACTTATGGCAGCAGGGAGAGGTCTTGAAGTACAGGAAGTTAGGGCATTAGGGCATGGCAAGGTATGAGGAAAATCAGTTCTAGTCCTGGCCCCTGGCCTTTCCCAGACACCCTTCCCAAAGACCCCTGCCCTGGAGACTCACCCACACAGGCCCCCTGGCGGAAGGACATCAGAGGGCAGAAAATACTGCGCACAGGGTGTGAGCTCTGCTCAATGGGGAAGCTTCGCTTCAACTGCAGGGTCCCCTCGTTGTCCACCACCCTAAGGGGAGTAGAGCAGCTCAAGGCCCATCTTCACCCCTTATGGGAGCGAAAGTTGGGCCACTGTGTCCTCACCCAGTTGCCTATGCTCGTTTACAAGAACTATGTCATCCCGTTTGGTGGCAACTGCATAAACCTGTAGGCACAAGGACTGGCAGGAGATTGAATGGCAGTGCAGACTCTGCAGCATCTGCATCATCACAGGCAACATTGCTTTCGGAGGGCTTCCAAGACATCATAGGGGGTGACAGGCAGAGCAGACAAGGCAGCCCTGCACATCACACCACACAGCCATTCAAGGGGAAGAACCCACACGACTGCAGGTGACCTAGGAACATGACAGCAAGCAGTCTGGTGGAAAAGTGAGATGTGGACAAGGATGTAGAAGGAGGGGCTGAAGCAACAGGACAGTGGATAAGGAGCTTGCCTTGCATGACGCTGACCTGGGTTAGATTCCCTGACACCACATATAGTCCCCCAGTCTACTAGTAGGGATTCCTAAGTACAAAGCCAGGAATAAGCCCTGAGCACCACCAGGTATATCTCCAAACACAAAAAGAATAAAGTGGGGGGAGAAATACTGACCCTTCCTCAAAAATGTTTATGTGTGGGTCAGAGATAATAAAAGGTGAGGCACTTGCCTTTGATGCAGCTGAGTTCGCTGCAAACCTGGTTCAATCTCTGGCACCCTATATGGTCCTCTGAGTACCACTAGAGCTCATTCCTGAGCACGAACCAGGAATAGGCCCTGAGTAATTGCCTGGTGTGGTGGTCCCAAGTCAACACCCTGGCCAATTTTTTTTTAAAATGCCTGTGTTGCACCCAAAAGGTGAGAGAGAACAAAAGGGAATGCCCTGCCACAGAGGCAGGGTGGGATGGGGTGATGGGGGGTGGGAGGGATACTGGGATCAGTGGTGGTGGAGAATGGGCACTGATGGAGGGACAGGTACTTGATCATTGTATAACTGAAATCCAGGTACAAAAATCTGTAAGTCTACAACTGTACCTCATGGTGTTTCACTAATAAAAATTTTTTTAAAAAGAATGCCATTAAATTTCAACAGGACTCTAAAAAAATATGCCTGTGCCAGTTGTAAGAAATTAATGGGTTGAAGACGCTGGAGCACATGTTTTGCATGCAGGAGGTTCAGATTTAATCTCTGCTACAACATGGGCCTCTGAGCACTGCCAGGAGTGACTACCCTCCAAAACTGCTGGGTGTTGCTCAACCCACCCCTTAAGAACTTTAAGTATAAATACAGTATATAGAAATTTTCTAAAAGAATGTAATAAAATAGAAAGCATCTTATAGGGCAGTGGTTTCCTATAAATTCACATCCAAGGTATCTCAGAGCCTGTATGATCGATCACTAGCTTGAAGTGGTGCCTGGCCATATTTTTTAAATTTGTTTTGGGAACATACCGGCAATGCTCAGAGGTCACTCTTGGCTCTGTGCTCAGGAATCACTCCTGGCAGTGCTCAGTGGGGAATGGAATATCAAGGATCAAAACCATGCCGGCTACATGCAAGGCCTTGCCCACTGTACTAACTATGAAGTCCATAATTTTTGAGGCTTTTCAGGTCATTATAGCACATGGCCAGCCCAGACTGAAAACTGTATTAACTAGCATGACAAATAAGAAGTGGTCTACTAAATTCCCCACATTAAACAGGGGCTGGAGAGATACTACAGCAAGTAAGATATTTGCTTTGAATGCAGCTGACCCAGGTTCAATCGCCACCAATCCATGTGGTCCCCCATGCACCAGAAGCGATCCCTGAATGCAGAATCAATCCTGAGCACAGCACAGGTGTGCCTCTCCTCGCCAACCCCGCAAAACCCCCCCCAAAATAAAAAACCAACCCCAGGGGCCAGAGCAACAGTACAGTGAGTAGGACATCTGCCTTCCATGTGGCAAACTGAGGTTCAATCCCCAGCATCCCATTTGGTCTCCAGAACCCACCAGGAGGTGATCCCTGAGCACAGAGCCAGAAGTAAGCCCTAAGCATCGAAGGGTGCAGCTCCCAAACAAACAAACAAACAAAAAAACAAAATAAAAACTAACCGCCAAAAGTGGAGGGGATGGAGAGGTATTTGTACAGTATGTGTAAGGCACTAGGTTCAATCCTTGGCACCACACAGAAATCTCTGCACAGTGGGCAGGGCTCCTGTCTTGAACATGACACACCTGGGTTCGATCCCTGGCACCCTATATGATTACCTGAGCACCTCCGGGAGTAAGCCCTGATCCAAGCCAGGTATGACCCCAAAACAAACAAACAAAAAGGTGCTTCGAAAAGGCCTATCCCCCATAAGTGCTACCTAAGTTTGCTTGGCTATTGCAATTACTATTACCACCATCATCATCAGATCATATCTGCATGCCAGACCTCCCCTCTTAAGTGACATGAGGCTTATAGAGAAGACAAGTCCCTGGGCCTTCACTCCAGGGGGCCCCAGCAAGGAACACTCACCTGTATAGCAGCAGCTTGTTAAGACAAGCGTTGATCAGCAGCGAGGGGTCCCGGGCCTCCCGACTGACCCAGGAACGGGCAGAGATGCTGGTAATGGGGCTCCCCTCATGCACCATCAGACGCTTGGCTTTTGTCAACTTCCCTGTGGCAATGGAGGGCGGGATGGGAGGGTGCAGAGAGGGGTAACAAAGTGAAGGGCAAGAGTGGTTGCCCAGGAGGCCTAGCAACTAGATGCCTGCCCAGATACCCTACCTGTGGCCATGTCGAAGAGAAAGGAGAAGACGCTCCCACGGTCATCCCCTGCCCAGAGCAGCCGGCCTGGCGCATCGAAGGACAGAGCAAGGACACGGCCTGTCAGCTTGCTGGAGCCACCCTTCACCTTCTTGCCTGTGGAGATGTTCATCACGTGCACGTTCTGCTTGGCATTCCCCACCTGTGAAATGGAGACCCACATGGCATTGCCCGGCCTCCCCATCCCTGGCTCTTCTTGGACTCTGACCCTAGTGGCACTGGCTATAACAGTGGGGAGTCTTAGCTAGTGACCCTGGACCTGGGATCCTCCCCAGCCAGCACCCTCTTGTGATCAGCCCAGAATCAACAGTTGCTGCCATGATAGAAGAGGGAAGGGTCCCAGATGGCAGATACTGCCCTCTCCCATGTCCAACGTCCCCTGAGACGGTAGAGGGGCAGTAAACTACAGGGCCAACCAGGCCCAAAGGAAGAGCTCACCTGCTCCCTTACTACTCCTTCCTGGTACCTTGACTACAACCGGGGCCGCTACCACGGCCACGGCAAAAGATCTCAGTGTGGAAGCTGTCACCTGTCCCCATTGGTCCCCCCTTCAGACCTGGCCATCTTGCTCCTTCCCTTGCCCTGTCCTCTGACTGTCCTGGGGTCGCACTGCAACAGGGTCATCGCTGAGACATGGTTTCTGACATAGCATCCAGATCTCCAACTCATGCCCCCCCTGCACCCTGCAGGCAGAAAATGGCAGACACCGAGGAGGGGTGTCAGACTCAGAACCCTCCCAACACCCACACCTCTCTTGCCCCACACCAGTCCGAGAGCTGCGACCCCTGTCCTATCCTGCCTCCGAGTGTGACCATGGGACGACTGTGGCAATGGAGCAGGGGAACTCCCCACAGTGCCCTCCCAGCCGGGCAACCCCGCCCCGAGGCAAGCGGGTGGCCCCAGTGCCTGACCACAGTGAGGTTGTTGTTGACGGGCTGGAAGGTACAGCACAGCAGCTCGGCGCCATCAGGGTCAGGGATCTCCCGGATGCAGCGGCCGTCCTCTGAGGCCCAGATGCGCATGGTGGCATCCAGGGAGGTGGACACCAGGATGTCATTGGAGAGGGACCAGGCGAAGTCGGAGACACCACGGGTGTGGCCCCGCAGGACACGCAGCACAGTGGGGGGGGCGGGCACCAGTTGGCACAGGGAGATGCTGCCGTCCAGGGAGCAGCAGGCCAGGCGGTGCCGGTCGTCATTGGCAAAGCGCACCCGTGGGACTGCAAGGCCAAGGAGCCATGTGTGGGACTCAGCATGCTCAACTACAACTTGGCATTTTTAAAGGGCTCAGATGTGTAGCTCAGGGCCTGGGCCCTACAGCATTGGGTGCAGTAATGTCAGTAAAGGGCTTGTTTGTTTGGGCCCACACCCGGAAATGCTCAGGGCTCAGTCCTGGTTCTGCACTCAGAAATCACTCCTGGTGGTGCTCAGGGGACTATATGGATGCCAGGTATCAAACCTGGGTTGGCTGTGTGCAAGGAAAATGTCCTACTGGCTGTACTATCACTCTGGCCCCAGATTTTGGAAGGTTTTTTTTGAGCTTGGCTGAGAAAGGGATCTGGAATTCCCAAAGACCCTTCAGTCTTAGCATGGACTGAAAAGACATGAGCAATGGGAAAAGGCTCCTCCATGCCATTGAACATTACTTTTTTTATTTGGGGGGAGCTTGTGAGGGCCTCACCTGACAAACCTCAGGGTTTCTTCCTATCTCTGCACTCAGGGATTACTCCTGGTAGGCTTAGGGGACCCTTGGGATGCTGGAGATCAAATTAAGGTCAGCTGTGTACAAGGCAAACACCTTATGCGCTATGCTGTCTCTGTGGTGCTATACAGTCTCTCCAGCCCCTATTCAGCATTTTACAATTCCCAAGAATGTGGGGCCAAGGGCTCTGCCACAATGGACTTTAAGTGACTGGCAATCAAGAAGCCTGCAGCATTCTTTCTAAGCTGTTCAGGCCCTTCACAGTTGTCAGAGTACTCATGAGTTTGTAGCCTACTTGGTAGAGGGCATCTCAGCTGGGACAAGCTTTTCTGTGTGACACAGTCAGAGGCTATGAACACTGGAAGAACATGCATGGACAATGGACACAGTGGCTGCAAATACATAATGACAAACCAGGCCTGGCATTTGGCTCACCTGCCTCATCCACATGCTGGTCAAACACATGGTACATGCCCGCAAAGGCATAGTTCTCGCTCAGCGACGTGTCCCCGGCCATGGCCCGACTTGCTTCAGCTGCAGACGTGGGCACCACACTGCCAGGGGGCCTGGAACCCCAACAGGAATGAAAGGTGCCAGGAGGGAGGTGCTAGGGTTCAGCCCACCATTGTCCATCCCCGCACAAAGCCCCAGCCTTCAGCTGCCCAGGTGCTTACCTATCCTCGTAGACTGCCCGGTTCATCTGTGCCTGCAGCTGGTAAGAGCCTCGGCTGACGGAACGACGGTGCCCACGGGCCCCCAGGGCCCGAGGATCATCCTCAAAGTCCTATATGTGGACAGGGTCAGGAAGGGAGATTCTTGAGAAGAAATTTTAAGAATCTGTGCAGTCTGTACAACTCAGGAATTTCTCTTTTTGACATCTATACCAAATGTCCCAAAACATGATCATGAAAAGATATGTGTGTGCCTATGTTCATTGACGCACTAGTCACAATAGCCAAAATCTGGAAACAACTCGAGTGTCCCGCAATGGATACAGTGGGTAAAGAAACTGTGGTACATATACACAATGGAATAGCACTTGGCCTTAAGAAGAAATCATGTAATTTGTCACTACATGGATGGCTATCATACTGAATAAAGTCAGCCAGAAGGAGAGGGATAGATCCAGAATGGTCCCTCTCATATGCAGGACAGAAAGAAACGTAGTAAAGGTCTAACAAATGGTCAAAGACAATAGAACATGAGAATTGGCCTATAGAACCATGGTAGGAGACAATGAGATAGGGTGGGAGTAGGGGGACCCCAAAACAATGATAGTGCGAACTGCACATTCTGGTGCAGGATATGGTATTAAAACACTGAATGCATAAAACCTTATTATTAACAACATTGAAAATTATGGTGTTTCTCAAAAAAATCCTAAAAGAATGTATGCAGCCAATAGCCTTGAAAATTTACAGAGAACTACATTTCTTCTCAGCAGATCCATGGCCAGCATCATGAGCCCTGACTACTATGGCAACCTCTATACTGGTTTCTCTACTCCACTCTTGCCATGCTCAGTAGCCACTCAACAAAGATTCTTTGAAGAAGAACGCACACTTTTAGAGCTGGACAGACAGCACAAGCAGTTAGGGTACTAGCCTTGACACAGCCAACCTAGGTTTAATTCCCGCACAGGGTCCTTTGAGCCCCACAAGGCGTGATCTCTGAGCGCCAGGAGTAATCTCTGATTGCAAAGCCAGGAGTCAGTCCTGAACACTGTCAGGTGTGGTCCCAAACCAAAAACCAAAACAAAACAACAAAAAAGGAATGACCATTTCCTCAAAAAAATACTCAGCCTCCTGCTTCATTCAGGCCTTAACTCAAAGGGCCAGATAAGGGGCCAGAGACCACTAGCATTGCATGTGGTGGGTAGGGCAGCACGTAGGGCACTTGCCTTGCATCTGCTGGACCTGAATTTGATACCCAGCACCCTGTATGGCCCCCGAACTCGGCCAGTAGAGAAGCCCTGAGCAATGCCAGGTATAGCCTATGAACATAAAAAAGGAAAGAAAGAAAGAAAGAAAGAAAGAAAGAAAGAAAGAAAGAGAAAAGAAAAGAGGACGGAGAAATAATTCACTGGGTCGAGTGTATGTTTTGCATGAAGGAGACCTAGGTTTGATCCTCCAACTTCACATGGTGGCCTGAGTTTCAAAAGAAACCACCCTTGAGTACAGAGCCAGAAAAATAGGCCCTGAGCACCACCATGTGTAGCCCAAAAACAAAACAAAAAAAGATCTCAGCTCAATTGTCATTCTTACCAGAGGTCTTGCCTGATCACCCTTATTAAAGATCTCAAAGGCTGGGGTCAGAGCAATAATATATACTAAAACAGGTAGGGTGCTTGCTTTGCATACAGCTGACCCAGGTTCAATCCCTGGGATCCCATAAGGTCCCCCTGCCGGGAATAATTTCTGAGCAGCATCAGGAGTAACCCCTGAGCATTGCAAGATGTGGTCCTCTTCCCCAAAATGAAAAAGATCTCAATGGTTTATTCTCTGTCCTTCAGATAAGTGCTATCTTATCTTCAGAGTCTCTTTTATCTTCCCATCTTCTCTTTATAAGTCAAGATAATATTGGACTGACTGGTCCAGAGCAGTATTTCAGCAGGCAAGGTGTTGCTTGACACGCGGCTAACCCAGGTTTGATCTCTGACATCCCATAGGATACCCCAAGGACTTTCAGGAGTGATCCTTGAGGACTGAACCAGGAGTAAACCCTGAGCACAGGTAGATGGTCAAAAGTCCAAAAAGAAAAAAAAATTTGGTTTACGATTTATCATTTTTTATCTTATTTGTTGCCTGCTTACTTCACTTGCCATTAGTGGCTTCACCTATATGATCACTTTTGACCCTCAACCTATCCTGAGAGCCTAGAACAGTGCCTGGCAAATAGGAAGCAGATGCCTGGCAAACCTGTGAATGTCAGGAGGCAAGTGTGCACATATCATTCATGCGGAGAGGAGCTCACCTCCATGCGGTCAAGGGTGGTCCTGCTACTGCGGATGATACTGTTGCTGTAAGCACGAGCACTGCCTGGTTCCGAGAGGGGGCCGTAACGCTGGCCCAACAGTTGGCCTCGCAACCTCAGGTACTGTCGACGCAGCGCTGGGGGATGCCCTGCCTTGGCATTCTCCCGCAGCAGCTGGCTGCGCCGCCGGATATACTGGGTCCGAAACTGTGGAAACGTTGGTGTGCGGTACGCGTTGTATCTACGAGTGCAGGAGCCAGGGCACGCAGCAGGCACAGGACAGAGGGAATCAATCAGCTCAGAGAGCAGGGAAGGGAAATGAGGTATATGGCAGTGACTGGGGTCAGGAGGGCACGTGATCAGCAGTGATGATGGGGCTCCCTCTGGTGTAATGGGGTGAGTCTACAGTAATAATGGGCATGGCTATGACGTCAGTATGGGGACATATAGGCAATGCACAGCTTTGGAGTAGGTATGGGATGACTAAATTGCTGTAGACAACGGCAGGGATCGGTCCAACATGAAGGCAGGATTAGCACGGGATAGTGATGGGGTGGGACTGGGGAAGTGATGGTGGTAAAAGAAGTCTGGGGGACAATAGTGGAGAATAGGATGTCACAATCCTGAGCTCCATTCCCCCCCTCCCAAAGGCTCTAGCATTGCAGTTTTGGCCCACGTCCACATCAGAGTGCATTTTCCCTGCATGCTCTTTAAAACTTGCCAGGCCAGACCCCTGTGTAGTAACCATGCCCCATACCCTGCTACTGCGCATGCTCACCCCCCCCAAGCTGCATAAACTGAGTTCTCCGCCCAGCCTCACTGATCACCATTGCGCATGCACCAGAGTAACTTCCGTTCCCAAGGGTTCCAACCCCACGCCTCACCTCGCGTCCACTGCTAAGACCTGCTGCCACACCGCGGCCATTCCCCGGTCTCCAATTCTGGCGGGTCTGCCCGAGGAAGCCTGCAGGACAAGGGCCTGGGATGTCAGCGTTTCAAGGAAAGGAATCTAGTTCCGCCCTTTGCGTCAGGCGGCTTGTTGCCATGGACATCAAATCCCTCCACACCAGGACTTTTGAGAGATCCCACCCAACTATTAACATAGTCATCAGCTCAGCCCTGCCCTTTCCGGGCAGCGCCCAGATGACTCACAACCGCGATTCAGGCTTGATCCCGCCCCCTCCCGGTAGCCATAGCAACACCTCCTTTCCCGCCCCCCCCCGCCCGGCTTAACAATCCTCGGATTTTCCATGGATCTTCTCACCCCCCCGACCCCCCGCCTTCCCTTCTCGAATCCAAGAGCAGGGCCCGGGACCAGGGACCACCTCCGGGGCTTCCTCCGGTTCTTGAGGCCCCCGGGATGGCCCTGAGACCAGTGTCGCCCTTTTCTTCAGTCTCTCCTCTCCCTCTTTCAGGCTCCAGGCAAGATGGCCGCCTGCTGCCAAGAATTGCTGAGTGCAGAGCTAATCGATAGCCAGGTCCTCCCTAAGGCGTGGGAGAGCCGCGCAGGCGCACTAACCAATAGTAGCTTGGCTACCTGGGGAAGCGCCTCCCTTTATAGCATACCTAATGGCATTTTTTTCACAATACCCAAGATCACTTCTAGGGTCCACAGGGATAAGTGCCAGAACCCTAGTAGAAATCAGTAAGTAGACTAAAGAAAATAGGTTTGAAGGGCCCAAAGAGCATACAGCGGATAAGGCGCTTGCCTTGCACGTGCCCTTACTTAACTGTATACGTGTGAAGCAAGTTCTTACAGAGGTTGAGGAGCGCACATATATCGTGGACCCAAAACAAAGTGAACCAAAAAAACATGACTTTTATCTTTTTTGAAAAAATTCTCAAGCCAGGTTCAAAAAGCTGCAACACATGCTTGGCATGCACAAGGCTCTGGGTTCAATCCCTAGTCCCACCAGGCTCCTGAGCACCACTAGATGGAGCCTTCACCCCGAAAAAATATGAGTAAAACCCCTTTTCCAATAACAGATCCCTCTATTATGGATTGTTCTGGAGCAGAAATAACATTCATTACAACGACAACACCACCTCTTATATCTATGTGCCGTACAGAATTTCAACTGGGCCATACCTGATACTGTTGAAAACCTATTCCTGGTATGCACCCAGGGACCACTCCTGGAGAAAATCAGGGGATCATACACGGTGTGGAGGATAGAATCCAGGTTAGCCATATGCAAGGCAAGCAAAAGCAGCAGGCTTTTGCTCCAGCCTGTAGAGTTTCAAGTTTTGTTTCAACATTCTTACACTGTCTTTACACTAAAAAGGGGCCTTGGGGGCTGGAGCAATAGCACAGCGGGTAGGGCGTTTGCCTTGTACGCTGCCAACCCGGGTTCGATTCCCAGCATCCCATATGGTCAAGCACCGCCAGGAGTGATTCCTGAGTGCAGAGCCAGGAGTAACCTCTGAGCGTCGCCAGGTGTGACTCCAAAAGCAAAAATAAACAAAGAAATAGGGGCCTTGGACGGAACCTTCATTCCATGTGACCCCTCCCAGTCCTGCCAGAAGTGATCCTTGAGCATAGAGCAAGTCCTGGACACTCTGGGGTGTGATCTCCAAAACCAAAAAAAAAATACAAAGAGGTTGTAAACATTGTTGCTTGAAGGGTCTGGGAACTAAGACAGAAAAGTTTACCTGCAGGAGTGGGAGGAAGGGCAGTGACTAGAGAGTCCTTTTCCCTGCAGGTTTGGGGATATCAGGTTACCAGAAGCAAACCCTTCCCAGACAATAGTGACTCAAGTGGCAGAAACAGGCTGGAACCATGTTCTGAGGACTCCTTCCTGTGCCTCTGGCCTATCTGGTGCCAGAGTTTAGAAATGCAAAGACGGGAGCTAGAGAGGTAGTATGCCAAGTAATGCTCTGGGCCTTCCACACAGCCAATCTAAGTTTCATCTCCAGCACTACAAATAGGGTCCCCCTGCACCACCAGGAATGATCCCTGAGTACACAGCTAGGAGTATGCACCAAACACAGGCAAACGTGGTCCAAAAATCTGATACTAAAACAAAAAGAAATGTGGAGATAAATGCACACTGGCTGTGTCGGTTCTTTACTCACACACACACACACACACACACACACACACACACAAAGCCAAGACTTGAAGCTGAGTTTTCATTTTCTGGAGCAAAAGGGAGAATCATTTGTGGGAAAGTTGGGGTGGCTTGGGTAACTAGGTCAGAGAGTGAAATGGGAGGAGACACAAAGCTGTGGAACCAGTATGTAGACACCCAGTCCTTCACTTATGTCATCCCTGAAGTTTCCTCCATAATGAGACATGTGAGAGCTGGGACATACAGTCACCATTTAAATTTGACTGGGTCCTGATGAAACATTTCCCAATGGGAAAAAATGGTAATGAAGTCCATGTTCTTACCTTTTCATTAGTGTAGCAAGATAGTTTTTATTGAATGAGACTTTAGAAAATTGTGAGGGGAGAACGAGAGGAATACATGTTCAAGAGAGAACATGGGCTTCTCCAGAGAAAGCAAGCAGAGAGAAACAGACAAGCAAGATATGTGTTCAAGGGATCACATGGGTTTGAAAACCAAACCAATCATTCCCAGTGTTACTGGTGATAATTCTCCATGGCCTCAGAAATAAGATTACCGCAGTTGGGAAATGTCTGAGCAAGCCTTGCCACAAAAATATCCAGGCAGCTTTCCCACAAACCTCTTATCAAACCCCTAGGTGCCAGCTACTTGGAGACAGCAGTAGTTCAAACAAATGGTCCCTGTTCTCATAAAGCTACTCCCCCGCTTTTGGTCTCCATGTTGCACTTAGCTGTTCTCGTGGCTTACTCCTGACTCAACATTGTTGCTCAGGGGTTTGGTGTGCCCATGCGCTGCCTGATATGGAACTGGAGTTGGCTGCATGCAAGACAAGCTTACCCTTCTCTCTCTCTAGCTGCAAAAATAAGCAATGAATAAGATAAGAAATGGATATCAGGGCTGGGGGTGAGAGGAGAGATGAGAAGCTAATTTAAGCTGTAACCCAAATGAGAATGGGGGAGGAACCCAAATGAGAAGGGGCGAGATAGACAAAGGCTCTGGACAATGAATGTGCAGCTAAGAGTAAATAAAGAAGGGAAGCAATCATATCACAAGGTTATAACTGGGATCCTTCCACTCTTATTAACAGCAACAGGATTTACAAAGTTATTTATTAACAATAGTGTTTCAGGCATGCAATGTTCCCAACTCTCATTCTACCACCCCAATTTCCCTCCCACTCCCAAACTTGTCTCCTTTACTCACTTTTAAGTTTAGTTATTGTAGTTTTGGTCCTATGCTTACAGCAGGGTTGGCTCTATTGGTTTGTTTTTTTGTGTGCCACACCCAGTAATGTTTGGGGATCACTCCTGGCAGGCCTTGGAGGACCATTCGTGGTGCCATACCTCTGTATTATCTCTCTAGCCACCTCCAGTGGTTTATATAGATACTTTAACAACTTTTGGGGGGGGGTAGGGAGCACATAGCTGGTGGTGCTCAGGACTTCTAGCTGTGCACTCAAAAAGGATCACACCTGACTTGGCTCAGGGGACCATATGGTTCCAGGGATTGAATCTGGACTAGCCTTGTGTCAAATGGGCACTCTACCTGCAGTCTTATGTCCCCCCTTTGCCCCGCCAATGACCTTGCCTTCTCTTAAGACCACAATTCCATTTACCCAATGAGGAATTTGGGGCCAGACTGAGGGACACAGAGATAGTACAGGGGTTAAGGAATTTGACTTGGCACATGAATGACAGTAGTTTAATCCCTGGCACTGCATATAGACCCCTGAGTGCTACCACTCCTGTGTCACTCCTCAACACAGAACCAGAAATAGCCTCTGAGTACTGCAGGGTGTGATCGAACACACACCCCTCAAAGCCTCAATGACTAAACCCTGATTTTGGCATCTCTGTCCCAGGGGATAATAGTTGAAGGAGCATAACCCTTGATTCTTCCCATTATTTCCTGCTAATACATTGAATTGACAATGCATTGATTATCAAACGTGAAGCCGCTCTCACTTTCCCAGGATAAGCCCTGCCTAGTTTTGGTGACACCCTGCATTGACCAAGTTCTTACTACACACATCCTTAAATAACTGCCACAGCAACTCAAATGAGATAAGGTAAGACAGAGCCCTATTGTGTTTTGGGAGACATACAAGTTGTGGTGCTCAGGGAACTATAAACAGTGCTAGTATTCAAGTATTGTTGCATCCACACACAAGGTAAATGACCGAATATTTTTTTTTGCTTTTTGGGTCACACCCAGCGATGATCAGGGGTTACTCCTGGCTCTGCACTCAGGAATTACTCCTGGCAGTGCTTGGGGGACCATATAGGATGCTGGGAATCAAACACGGGTCGGCCGCATGCAAGGCAAACGCCCTACCCGCTGTGCTATCACTCCATCCCCAAATGACCGAATTTTTGTACTCTCTCATCAGCCCTAGAGCTTTGATTTGTTTTGGGAGCACACCAGGTGGTACTTAGTGTTAACCCCTGGTTCTGTGCTCAAGGGTCAGTCCTAGTGATGCTCAAGGAACCATAAATGGTACTGGGAATAGAACCCAGGTTAGCTGTGTGGAAAATAAGTACCTTTCCCATTGTACTATCTCTCCAACCCTTGGAGTCCTGTTAGTTTGGGAGGCCACACCCAGCAGTGTTCAGGACTTACTCTTGGCTCTGCACTCAGGGATCACTCCTGACAGTATAACCCCAATTTGAAGAAGGGCTTATGGCCAGATACATAAATTAGAACTAGCTTTATACTTTGCCAGGAAGTCAAACTGGATTAAGTTGCTTATCTTGAATCCCAGAAATTATCAAGCCCTGGGAACTAGTCAGCAGTATTGGCAGTATTTCTCCAATCAAAACCAAATCAATCAGGGCTGGAGAGATAGTCCAGGGGTTAAGGCTCTTGCCATGCATGCAGCTGACCAGTTCAATTCCCATCGCCCATTCCCTGAGCCCCTTCAGGTGTGTCCCTGTAGTACTGTAGCTCTGTCCTCCTGTTGTTCATACATTTGCTGGAGCGGGCACCAGTAACGTCTCCATTGTGAGAGTTGTTGTTACAGTTTTTAGCATATAGAATACGCCACAGGGAGCTTGCCAGGCTCTGCCATGTGGGTGGGATACTTTCGGTAGCTTGCCAGACTCTCCGA